TTTAGGGTACGGCATCTAATTGTATAAGGTTTTTCGTTAACAGAGAAATATGATGCGCTTTGGATAATTAAAGTAATTTGTAATAAGAATCTCTTATAGACACATTGAATGAGTTTTTAAATACTATTATTGAAGTATAAATGATTTAACTGTATTGAAAGGTTTGACAAAGCTGATACTCAATTAGAAGTTTTAGAGTCGTAGGATTAAACAAAATCTTCAGCACTTTTTGATTCCCATTTTGTTGAAAAATCCAAGGGACTGTTTTCGAATTCACAGAGCCTATCCAGATATGATTGAATTTAAGCATCTATTACTTTCTAGACAATGATACTTTCTTAGGAAAGAAGATTTTATTTAGTAGAAAAACTGAAAATATCATAATTTGGTAATGAATAAAAAATAATTCTAGAAATTGAAATAAAAGCTTAATAGGATATATCACGCTAGTTATACACAAATTTAAAAAAACTGCATATTTGTAATATCAAACAACCTGAATTTTGCGATTTTAAAGTTTCTCGAAGGAAAAATAGATCCGAGAATAATCGATTTTTTCACTGTTCACAAAATTCCCTTTAGCTGATTCTGTAAAACTAAACTCGACCCTGCAAGAACTGCAACCCTATCTCACCCTCTTGCTATGCGAAAAAGTAAGCGTGAACTTTGGATAGGTAACAGTGTTTGGCTCATTTTGGAGGCGATAAGTTACTACTAGGACTTTGGGAATATGCGAGAAGTACGTGTTCCGATTACTCATTATTTGTGGAGGGTGGAATCATGAGATTGTCAGTGACATAAGAACGAATCACTGTTCTTTAATGGAAAAGGGTGTAATTTGAAAAATTCGCTTACGCATTAGTTTCATTCTATGTTCTGTGAAACAGGTTGTTAATATGGATCCCAGGCCTATATAACGTAATCCGATTTTTTTTATTCCTTTATTTATGAAAGAATTGCTTATTGCGATAATATGATGTCCAACAGTGGGTATGATAATTTATATCGTGATTTGAGAGTATTGTTGTAGTATTTTGGATACGTTTGAGTAGAAGTAATTGCATAGAAAGATTTTAGTATTTGTAACCATTTTTATGTTGCGTTAGAAATTGGTATTTAGTTTATAATAAAATTAGAGGGAAAAGTTTTTGGATATTTTATTTATTTTATACGTGCAATGTTCTCTGGAAAGGGTAAACTTTTTTGCGATCAGGTAATTTCATATATCTCCTTTTTACAATTTAAAGATCACAAATTTTCATGAAATTTTCGATTTATGAGAAAATAGCAGTTAGATGATAAAGTAAGAGTGGTGCATGCCATTTTTGTGCAATCTAGTATGTTTTTTTATAAAATACGTCGCGTGAAATGGTTAATTTTTTTAATTAAATTATAGTTATTTTGTGATTATATGTTTGTAGCACTTGGAAACGTGTCATGGAGTAAACGTGCGGAAATAATTAAATATTGAGACTAAGTATTGTAACCATTTTTAATTTTTGTTATAATTCTTGGTGATGTTTTAATAGATATTTAGAGGTAAAGTTTTTGGATATTTTTATTTATATTCTCTGGAATTCATCTTGGATAGGTATATAATTTTTTCGCATCAGGTAATTTTATACATGGCTTTTTTACCGAGTTTAAGATTCACAAAATTTCCTGCTTTCTGCAAATTTTGTAATTTTGAGAAAATAGCATTTGATGGATATCAAGAGTGTGCGCATGCCATTTTTGTGCAATTCTGGATTTTTTAAGTAAATAAGTCGAGCTTTCATGGTTACTTGTATGTGCGATTTGAAAAACGCGGCAAGGATTTGCGATTCGGCACTTTTTCCAATTTTTCAGTTAATTTGTTCATTAAGCGTTTTATTCCATAAAATTTCTAGCATAAGTGTATTTCGGCTAGTGATTGTTGGAAAAGTGTTGAGTAATAAAAAAAAGAAACATGTCTTTACTTTACTTCGGAAGACAAAATGACGGCGGAAAAAACAGAGTTTGCTGTACAGTGTTGTCGCAAAAAAATCGCCAAGTACCAAAGTAATAAATCCGATGAATCGAAGGAGGAGGAGAATTCAAACGCTTGACTCTGCAGCTCCTCCCAACTGGTCAAATGGCAGTGCTTACTGCAAACTTTATTGCTTTGCTTGTTCGAAAGGAACTTTTCTCCACAGTTGAGGGTGCTACAACACCCTCTAGGGAATTCACATAACTCCCCACGATGACCATCAGGCATCAAACTACCTCTTACAGAAATATTACTTAACAATATTCTTAGTAAACTACAATTTCTAGATTAAAGTTCTGCTTATAAATGAGTAATAAGCCGAACAACATATAATGGACATGAATTACACAAAATAATAACGTAATAAGTATAGATATACATTAAACGTCAAAATGCAAATGAATCTCATGATATCACGTTAAAGTCAATTTTCCGATACTTAATGTAGATTGTAACACACGCAGTTTGTGAATGGGTCTCTTGAATTCACCATCACAGTTTTACTTTTACAACCGAATTCTGTAATCATACCGGGTAAATTTCGGTGATACATCCAGTTTCCATTTTAGGAGGTGTGTTATCTTCTTAATTATTACTAAATCATTTACTTTAACATTTGCGAAGCAATATGCGATTTTTGCGAACTTCGTTAGTCAATAGTCCTCAGACCATTTCCTCCAGAAGAACTGCGACATTTGCTGAACTAGTTTCCAACGATTGCGAAGTGTTAGAGTCTTGTCCCACACATTTGGTTCTGAAATAGACTTTAATGATGTTCCTATTAAAAAATGACTCAGTGTAATCACGGAAAAATCATCTGGATCACTTGAAATCACTACTAATGGTCTTGAGTTTAGACACGCCTCAACTTCTGCTATATAAGTAGCAAATTCTTCAAAAGTTAGAACTTGGTAACCAATTGCTCTTCTCATATGATATTTCATAGCCTTTATTGCGGCTTCCCACAGTCCACCATAGTGCGGCGCAGAAGGCGGATTGAAATTCCACTTAATTTCTTCCTCTGTTAAGTATCTAGCTACTTTTGGTCAAACGTATGATTTCAGTTGTCGTTTGCACTACAAAAGCAATCACTATATTTTTCCTCCGTCTTTTCACATCTAGCAAAATCGTTTTAGCGCTCATGAGTATCTGTCCGTCATGTCTCACTTGTTCGAATGCCTGCTTGGTACTAAAACATCTGAAACACAACGTAGTTCACTATCTGACACCGGCCTTTCCTCATTTAAAACTTGGAAGGACCCGAAAAAGCTCTTGCGGATCACTCTGGATGCTGACGATCACCCATTGCTTGATATACAGCTCACTTCTGTGGCGCAGCATGTTTACACATTTACGATGATCCGCGAATGATCTTGCAAATGGCTGCTCGTGCATTAATAATCCATTATCTCTGCTTGATTTCTGAATGGAGCATTTGTGCTTCTCCGTGAAGATATTTATAGTGATAATATTGTATTATTAGTTCTGTAATGTAGTGTGATTTAGGCAGAATGATTGGATATTTTACATTCTCATTACTTAGTCGTCCTCCCACTCTTAGAATACTCTCGTAGTCTAAGAATGAATTCAACATATTGAGTTTACTGCGAGGACTCACCAGTTTTCCCTTTTTCAAATGATCGATTTCTTCACTAAATTCTTGCATTTGCACAGATACGTGTATGGCATCTTAAAAACGCGGCAAGCATTTTGCGATTCTGCACTTTCTCCAAATTCGCACGTAATCTTCATCATGATAAGCACTTTTTGTCCATAAAGTTCTAGCATAAGCGTAATTCGGCTAGCAATTGTTGGAAAAAAATTGTAGTAAAAAAAAAAAAAAAATGCTTACTTCACAAAGGGTTTAATCCTAGTATCCGGTGCACACGGATTTGGCTACTTTATGATGAGCAGTAAAAAGGGACTATACATGAGTAGTTAAGTCATTCAAAGAAAATATAGAAACATAGGATATATACTATGTGTGTATAATATACATATAGACGTTCTTTGGATCATTTTTGGTGTCGGCGATAATTTTCAAAGTCGCGCCAAAGCTGCACCGTATACTAGGATTTTACCCAAAAATGTATTAAACCCATAATTCTTACTCACTAAAAGCTTAGTCATATATACAGAATAATTCTTAATTACTGGAACAATTCTTGATTAATGCCCTTTTCCAATGATTATGCTTGCCAATTTACCTTTGATAGTTTTTCACTCTAAAAGTTATCATTATCTATGATGATCACACGTATGATAATTATCAGCAAAACTTGAAACACATCAAGTTCTGCTTTCAGTATGTTTATTCATACCACAGAGGTTTTTCAACCTTTTGATGAGTGCTATTTTAGGCTTATAAAAGCATAATGAGATATGATTTCAGAATATATGAAGATTCTGTCTTTTTTAATCACTGGAGTAGATACTCTGAACATCCTGAATCTAAAGCATTTTACTCTGAGGAGCAAACACGATTTAGGGCAATGCAACAATCTCCACTTTCATAACTACCTAAACTGAAACTCTGCAATTTGGGTTCCAGTTATCATGTAAAATGAATAATTCTGAGGGCAGATATATAAAGCCAAGCACAAGACAGAATACTAATATGCATCACTTCAAAAAATATAAAAACTGACTATTGTATAACACTGTGTGACTTCAATTACAAAAATAATCATATTTCATATGAATGATTAATAATACAATATACTTAAGACGAATGTAATGTTTTTATTGTGTTATGTGCTGAACCTTGAAATTTCCGAACCAGTTCATTTTTGAATTTTGTGTACCTTAGCGATATATTTCAAGAGAAATTATAAATTGTTTACTATTAGTATTTTAAATTAACAAAAGAATGTTTATATTTGTCTGATTTAAAGATATTCTAATTTTTGTATCATGCGAAGCTCTTAAAAGAGAAATACTACATTGCAATGAAACAAACAAGTATTACACTTCTCTTACTAACGCTGCATACCTCTCAGTCAATAACGATGCTCCATAGCGATAAGGGAAAAAATTGAACAAAGTTCGAGTTAGCCCCGCCGAACACGAACGTACGACGGAAGCCATACTTTTTATTCACCTTAAGGCAAATTAAGGCCGCGAACAGACTTTGGTGTCTTGTTTTGCATCCAGTAAGTGTTTTTGCTCATAGTGCGAAAAATCAAGCTTGCTTTTTTATCTTCAGAACTGGCAGCACCACGCATATAACGACAACATTTGTTTTGAGCGTCATTGTTGCTCCGCGATGCTAATGTGCTAGGTTATTAATCGCCCTGTTATATTAAAGGGCATTTGCTTATGATCAAACGAAAAATGAGTGAGTACGATTTAGATCTAGACGATGAAAACAGCGACTTTGAAACAACCAATGAAAAAAATGAACATGAATCTGATGAAGGTAAGCATAGTTTAATATTAATAGATTTTAACATTAGCATGAATATTTAGGATATTTTCGTTTATAATAGTATTTTTTTGCTTTCGGTATATGAATAAAAATAATGTTACTGTGTCAGCAAAACTGCCTTCATTGTGTATTTTCTAATAATTCTAATTTTCTGAAAATGCCTGTCATTTATTTTGACTGAGCAAGGTATATTTTGCTAGCGTTAGAGAAGAAATAGAAGTATTTTGATTTTGTATTGCACACAGACTTTTGAAGGCAAAAAATAACGAAAAATGTAATTGTAGAATTATATGTCATATTTTCTTTTTATTATGTAATACAGCTATTTGTTTTTGAGATAAATTTCTCACATCATTTCCATTTATAGTCCTGCTTGTGTGATAAAAATGCAAATTGAATTTCTACTTCCTTCTCTCTTGCATTTTACATTTTATTAAAAATCATTGAATAAAGGTTAAATCATTAACTACAGTTGTTTCTGACTTTAATGGACTTTTCATTCTCATGAAAATAAAAGTATTGTATTGTCAATTTTACTAAGGTTATTTTCATTTCTGTTTCGACATTTCTCAGTTTACTACATCATGCCAGACAGATACTGATCAGATCCCAACCAGAAATGAAAAATCATATTTAAACAGCTTTTTAAATTAAATTTGCTTAATTATTCTATTTATTAATTTTTTTAATATAAATTTCCAGTCATTCAGATAATAAATCATCATTAAAGATAGCAAGAAAATTTTAAATTATACCTTGATATATATTAAACAACAAAAGAACTTATGACAGTATAAAGATGGTTTTGCCTTTCAAGAACTTAAGGTAGTTTAACAACCCTAGATGTGCATTTGTTTAGTGCAGAGTTTCTTAAACTGAGGGTCGTGGGACGTGCAGCCAAAGGCTCCCCAAACGTTTTAGCAGTTTTGATATTTCTTTGGTTGATCTCTACATTATGGTAACTTGGCGTTTTTTTGGCAAAAAT